TGGGGCTAGCTGTAGAGGTGGGGTTGGTATAGTGTGTGCGCTGCATGTGGTTGTGGTGGGGGGGGGCCTTCCCAGGGCCAGTCTAATTATTGGCCCTCTCACCTGTCTAGGCCAGTCTGCCCACCTGACTCATGTGCTATGTCTTTGTTGGAACTGAATAGTTGTTCACAGGCAGGAGGCTGCCCATTTATTGCTTGATGTCAAGGGCATAATACACAGTTCCACCCTTCCCTTTACCATGTCCCATGCCTTGCAGATGGCATCACATACCAGTGACAATTCTCTCAGCCCCTCAACGGGCTGAACTCAGTCCCATGCTAAGCCTCTCTCATACTACTCCTAGCAGAGCCACAGTCACTCTGCCCCTTTCTTGGGCCTCAGTTGCACTACCCTATTCTGTATATCCCTTCAGGACCACCTAGGTTCCCTACTCTATACAGCCCCTCAGGATTCACCTCTTGCACTCTTGGTCCTGGTCCCCTCACAAACTTCACGTCTGTTTTAAAATGGTGAAATAAGGCTAATTGTGCCTAAATTTGTACCTTCAAATGCAGGTATCAAATTTAAGCACAATTAATTAAAGCACATTAAAACATGCATAGACATGACCCGCAATAACTTTAGTGCTGGGTCTACCCAGCCGCTAGGGGCACATGACAGGGCTGCACTGATTTGGCACTAACTGCACACCTACCCAGCCACTGTATAGCCCACAACACACACTCAGTCTATATGTACATGCATATGCATCCACAGTATGAGGGTAACTGGACTGCATAAGTGCCAACCCTTCTCCCCTCACTTTTTGGTTCGAAAGCTGATATTTGGATCCACAAAGGGAAATATTTTTCTACCCATTGCATTTTTTCTCACATCAATAGTATGCTGATTTATGAACAGAGTCTTTAAAATGGGACTTCCATGACAGTTGCCATTTTCCCACACATTATTTATCCAATTCCTTGCCATTTAATCATTTCTTCTGATATCATTCTATACTTTTTACTAAAAATATAGATTTTTGAATCTATGTTTGGACTTTATTTTTCTATTTGTATTTTCTATTGAGAAGTATTAAGCTTCTCACCTTAGTCCTGTTCTCCTCCTCATCCTCTGGAGATTCCAGTCAACTCACAAGGGTTGAGATGCTACTTTTTATGCTGACAGCTCATAAATCCACTCTTCTACCCATCACATTTTGTTTTTTACTTCTAATATGTATCTCCTAGCCTTTCACTTTAAGATTCTATAAATACAGGGATATAAAACTCGCCCAGCTTTCCAGGCCAGATCTAGACCATGTGGGCATATTATAGCCTACATCTGGACCCACATTCACCAGTGGGATGAACAACAGTTGTGGTGCAGCAGTTAATATAGCCGTCATTTGCCCAGCTTCCTCAAATTCCTGTCTTCTCCAGGAGCTCCATGGGCCATATGAAACATTTCCATGAGTTGGATCCAGATTGCGGACCATATTGTCGACATCCCTGCCTGAATACATTCCTAATGCCTCCCTTCTATGAATGTATTTGTGAAGTTTTGTTTTGTTCACACTTTCCCCTGCACTTGGTAAAGTCTCCTGGGAACTGTTCAGAATTCTCTTTAACATAGTGAACACAGACAAGCTGCTTTTGGAAGCCATTGATATGGTAGAAATTAAGACCCTTATTATGCTGTCAAAACTATTACTGAATTCCAACACGGCAAACAGATACTAGAAATAATATAAACAGATATTAGACTATCTATGCTTTTTTATAAAATAAGGTTAGAGTAAATATACTGAGTTTCAGTGAAAATGAGTATTATTATGAATATCATTACAATTGCACGTTAAGTCCGCAAGGAATGTAAGCATGAAGTTGGTTGGATTATTTCTCAAAATTAACCATGCGTTTAAGAATCACATTAATTTGAGGCTCCAAATAGCAATGTAAGGACATTGTATCATTTACAAAGCAACACCTGGAGCGAATGACAGTCTCTTATTCTTGAATTATTAAAGTTTCGATACTGGGACAGTCTTTGTAAATGTGAAATTCCAATAGTACTATATTTGCTGTGCTGCATTTAAAGATATTCATAGTAAACCACCTACCTGTCCAAACTCATTACCGTCATAATAGCGCTGCATGCAAATTGGTTGCATGTATCCAATGATGTAATGATGGTACACAGAGGGCTGCCAAACACCCACTCTCCTCCACGAGCCCATTGATGAATAAGAAAGGGCATACCAATGATATGAACCAAATCTGCTATAGCCAGATTGCAGATATAGATATCTGGAATCGATTTCTTTTTAGTTCTGAAATAAATAACATAGTATCAGAAAGGTAGTTAGATGTGTTCATCTGAAGTTAGGCAGAAGGCAGGGTAGATTGGCACCTTATAGAGTAACTAATTCAAAGATACAAAAGCTTTTGTGAGTCCAAGCTCGCTTCATCAGATGCTGATAGTTAGTATAAGTGATTCCTGACATATCCATCTTTGAGCATAGCGTTGAATTAGATGACATCCTGCAGTCTCTTCCAGCCCTACTTTTTTATGATTCTATGACAGTGGCTCTTAAACTTTTTAGATTCAAGGAACATCTCTATAACTTTGGTGAATTGAGCAATACTGTGTTTCAAAAATGAATTTATTATATTGTTTACTTCCTTACAGAAGGTCCAGGCAGTGGGGGTGGACAAAATGACCAGGCAGGGATAAGCCTGAGCTTATTTTGTACCATATGACACCATTCAAAGGCACCTCATGACCCTAGAACCCTGGTTGAGAATTATTGTTCTATGATATTATTTATACAAAAAGTAGTGCTGGCTGAAAAGCAGGATTTCTTCATCACAGAAACATTTAGTGCATCTGAAATTTGGTTTCAGTCTGAATCAGAAATTTTAAACTCACAGGGTTCCCAGGATACACCTATCAAACACACAGCTTGCAGCCTTCCCACATGTGGGGCATACCCCCTGGGAATGGAATCCAGGTACATTTCCATTAGAATGTTCTCAACAAAAGATTTTGGACTCAACATAATGAACTTTTTAAACAAACTTTCTTTTGCTGGAGAATTTCCAACCATCTCTACTAATACTGTTAAGTTATTCATGTCCAAGACAGTGACCTTCCATTTCCATTTGAAAACTACATAATGTAAAGAGCTATTGGGCCTATTTTACTCACAATACCTGCATGGTAAGTAATGGAAATTCTTGGGTGTAAAGTAAATTCAAGTGAGAGGAGTGGTAATCTGGTGTTAGAGGAGAGAATGTGACCAAGGGATAGGGTGATGCAATGCATAAATGGGCAGATTTTGGAGGGTACTCAGTCATTAAAAATGCAGATAATGGCCCAGTGGAATTTTCTAAAGTGCCTAAGGTTAAATGAGTTCCAGTGAATGAGACACAGGTCCTCTAGGTGATCAATACTTAAAAAATATACAATGTATACACAAATGTAGTGCATGAAGACTGTATAGAGAACCTTAATTCTGGTGTTTCCTTACTTTTGATGGCTTGATGTTACAACCTTAACTTACAACTAGCAGCATGTGAAGTGGATTCAGATTTGGACCAATTTGGGGGACAGTGATACGATCCACTGATTTGGATCACTGTCTGGGTTCAATTCAACCACATCTGAATCTGAAGATTCAATGCTGATTCGGAGAATCAGCAATTCAGCCATAGACGCATAGTTTCATAGTTTCATAGTTTCATAGTTTCTAGGGTCGGAAGGGACCTGAGCAGATCATCGAGTCCGACCCCCTGCCATGGCAGGAAAGAGTACTCGGGTCAAACGACCCCAGCAAGGTGTTCATCTAACCTCCTCTTAAAGACCCCAGGTAGGAGCCAGCACCACTTCTCTTGGAAATTGGTTCCAGATCCTAGCTGCCCTGACCGTGAAGTAGCGCCTCCTGATATCTAACATAAAGCTCCTGACGCAGCTTTATATTGGGCCAAATCTGGATATTGGGCAACCTGAACAACCTTAGCCTTAACTCTTTT